TCCTGGCTCGCTCTGGCCCTGGCCCTGGCCCAGGTCCCGGCCCCGGCGCCCTCCACACCTAACTACACCTCCGTGGCCTCCCAGGTGCCCAAGATGCCGAACCCAGCTTCAAAACAGCGAACGAAGCCTGGAAGTTGCCCCAGGAGGGCTCCAAGACTCCCCGAATGGTCCTGATAGGCAACCTGCGTCGTCGTCAACATCGTCAACATCCTCGCCATTATCTCCCTCCTTCTCCTCCTCATGATCGCCACGCTCTACTCGCCCCTGCCCTTCCTTCGCGCCCCCCGGCGACCCTGCTCGCCTCACTCTTCTCCTATTCATTCCCCCCCCCGTGCTCCTATTCCTCCTCATACACCTCTTCCTCCTGTCCCCTTCCTAATCTTCCTCCCCATGCTCCGCGTCCTCCTCCCCAACCTCAGGGTCGGCGGCACCGGCCGTAAGGCCTTCGCAATCCGCCCTACCATCGAAAGGTTCTGTTCATGGCGTGTTTCACTTCCTCTAAGAGAGGCAACGGGGGAGGACGGCAGAGCGGCGCTCCACCGCACGGCCTCCTCGCTTCCCCGGCGGTGCGGCGCTCGGCCCCGGCGCTCGGAAGCGCGCGCCCGCGTGGCCAGCAGGGGCCCGCCGCCGAAACAGTCGGGCTGCTTCGCCGGGCCTCTCACCACGAGATGTAATACAGCCCCTGGCCCCAGTAAGTGATCGTTTTCTTATTCATTGTTTTGCCGATCGGCGCGGGCCCTCGCACCCCTCCCCCATGGATTAGATCTTGGCTGTTTTGGGCGCCCGTTTCGAGCAGGTGGAGTCTCCCCCACAGGACGCACAGTTGCAAACAGTCGCACTAAGCAGGGGTCCGGAGTCAGACCCCCCCCTCTCCCCTCTCCCTGTCGCCCAGTGTCGAAACGCCGAATGAGAGAACGCTCACCAGCCCCAATCACGCAATGACTTTGTGGCCTAACTTAGGTAGGTCCTCGGTGTTTGGAGCTATCCATAATCATGTGGGTGGCTTTCGTTTGAGACATCTGCAGAACAGTTCCCCTTATCCCTAAGGTTTCGGTCCTGCTAATTTCAGTTCCCCTCCCAAAGGATTACAGGTTTACATGTATTGCTTATCATATGGTACCCACCTCTCGGATCTGTTCGACTCTAGTTTGACTCTAGTTCGACTCCTTAGCTCTGGGCCTCCCAGATGGGGTCAGAGTAGATGGTTTCGGAGGATCGCGGCATTATCGCCGATGCATCGCCGATGCGGCTCGATGTGGAGCCCGATATCTCCGCGCTGGTGTCGCCGATACACCGCCGATGCATCGCCGACGTCGCCGATGCATCGCCGATGTATCGGCGATGCATTGGCGATGCGGCGCGAATCTCCGGAACCCTTCTACTCGGTCCATCCTTGGGGCCGTTGTGGGGGCAAGGGAAGGAAAGGGAGGAGGAGGAGGAGGACGACGACGAGGTCGACTCAAACTCGTGTTTGACTCCTTAGCTCGACTCAAATTCGATTCAAATTCGACTCGAGAAGACGGACGTTCGTCGCAGCTCCGACGCACGAGTGGAGCAAGCGGCTCGATAGAGGCTCCCACGACGAGCTTTCTTAAGGCCTCCTCCTGGCCCGTGCGATCCGTTGCCGTGCTGCGCTTGCGGAGCAAGCTGGAGCACATACATCACCATTCAGTCAGCCGTGTCCCTCTACAGGAGGAATATTCAAAAATAGTTACAAAATAGTCCTGGGACGTTTTTTCTATAATTTTCGAGTATTTTTTGCGTCTGTCTTTGACAATTTTTTATTTTTCGTCCAAAATCCGCCTGTAGGGGGACATGCCCGACCTAACATTACCAGTAGCGGGCTGTTTGTCAATCCCAGGACTTTTTGAGGGTCGGGGGGGACGTCGGAAAAAGCGCGTGCTGTGGTCGCTTGGATGGGGGGGGGGTTGGAACTGGACCCTCCCCCCCCCCCCGGATGGAGGGGGGGGGTTCGAACCCCGGGGAGGGCGTTTCGAACCCACCCCACCTCTCGCGACGGCGGTGTGGGGGGGTTCGAACCCCCCCCCCTTGCTTCCCCTCTCCCCGGGCTGGCGCTGCGTTGGGTCGGCGGCGGCTGGCGACGGCGGCGGGGACGACGATTTCCATATCTTGGCCGGCGCCGGCGCCTGCGGCGGCGGGCGGCGGTGGCGGGGAGCGTCGACGAGGACGACGGTGGTGGTGGTGGTGGTGGGTTGTGGTGGTGGTGGTGGTGGCAGTGGTGGTGGTTGTGGTGGTAGTGGTGTGGTGGTTTGTTGTGGTGGTGGTGGTGGGTGGTGGTGGTTTGTTGTGGTGGTGGTTGTGGTGGTGGTGGTGGTGGTTGGTGGTGGTGGTGGTGGTGGTGGTGGTGGTTTGGTAGTAGTGTGGTGGTGGTTTGTGGTGGTGGTGGTTGTGGTTGTGGCGGTGGTTTGTGGAGGTGGTGCTTGTGGTGGTGGTGGTGGCGGTGGTGGTGGTGGTGTTGTGGTTTGTGGTGGTGGTGGGTTGTGCTTCTGGTAGTGGTGGTGGTTGTGGTAGTGGTGGTGGTGTGTTAGATTGTGGTGGTGGTGGTAGTGGTGGTGGGTTTTTGTGGTGGTGGTGATGGTGAGTTGTGGTGGTGGTGGTGTTTGTGGTGGTGTGGTGGTGGTTTGTGGTGGTGGTGGTGGGTTGTGGTGGTGGCGGTGGTTTGTGGACGTTTGTTGTGGTGGTGGTGGTGATGACGGCGGTGGTGGTGGTGGTGTAGTGGTCTGTGGTGGTGGCGGTGGGTTGTGCTGCTGGTAGTGGTGGTGGTTGTGGCGGTGGTGGTGGTGGTGGTGGTGTGGTAGATTGTGATGGTGGTGGTGGTAGTGGTGGTGGTTTGTGGTGGTGGTGGTGGGTTGTTGTGGTGGTGCTGGTGGTGGGTTGTGGTGGTGGTTGTGGTTGTGGTTGTGTGGTGCTGTTGGTGGTGGTGGTGGTGGGTTGAGGCGGTGGTGGTGGTAGTGGTAGTGGTGGTGGTGGTGGTAGTGGTGGTAATCGTCGCTGCGTCCCCGCCGTCGCCGGCGCCAGCGCTGGCGCTGCTGGCCGCCGCCAGTGCCGGCGCCGAGGGGGGGGGGTTTGAACGCCAGCGCCGGCGCCGGTGCCAGGGGGGGTGGGGTTTGAAACTCCCCCCTTGGGAGGGGGGAGGGTTCGGGAGAGGGGGGGGGTTGGGGGGGAGGGAAGTCCCCCTGGTTTTGATTGACGGCGCCGAGTGCTGGGGGGGGGCCCACCCCCCAGTTTGAAACGCGCCGCCGAATGTTCCCAAGGCAGGCGCCCGTGAAGCGCGTTCTCTCCGACGTCGGGGTGGTGTGGTGTATTGCTTTTTTCCCCGTTCTCCGGGGGAAGCAGAACAGCGACACGTGTATACACCAGGATCCCGTATACATTAGGATCCGCTTTCCTGTGCAAGCGTCAGTGCAGGGCCGGAAAAAGCGCCGGTATACAGTGGAGACCCATGCCAAAAACACCCTGCTTGCCTCCAGGGTGCCCCGGGTCCCTCTGGTTTCGATGGTTTTGCGATGGGACGCGTGACGTTCTCACGCCAGAAATCGATTGACGTCCTGGGGTCTCAGGGTTGGATTTCTTGTGGACGGTTTCTTGTGTACTGGCCTCCACTGCGTGTTTATGTGGATTTTTCGTTTTTTTGGACAAGGGACTGGTTCCGCTACCCTTGCCTCGTCTTCGCCTTTTTGGGCCTCCTGGGAAGCTCTGGTCGCCAAGGCTGGACTCACCTCGAAATTCTGCTCAGACCACACCTTGGGAGAGGTCCAGGGAATAGCGGTGTGGGTATCTCTTTGTTTCCCAGGGGCCGCTCAAACGTGGCCAGAGCTGGTTGGGATCGGAGGATCGTGCCGCATCGCCAATGCATCGGCGATGCGGGGCGATCTGGAGCCCTATGTTCTCCATGACGACGCGGCCGATGCATCGGCGATGCGGCACGATCCTCCAACCCCATCTACTCGGACCCAATGTGGGCGGCCTCCAGCCAACAAATGTGGAGGACGTAACGGGGACGTGACAGGGTATGAGGGGGTTGGGTACGGTAGGATAGGGAGTCGACGAATGATTGCTTCGACGAATGCTTGGCGTTTTTTGTTGTTGTGCGCGCGCGTGTGTGTGTGTGTGTGTGTGTGTGTGTGTGTGTGCCCGACAGCTCGAGCGCCCCCAACAATTCGAGCGCCCGTGCGGATTGCTTGTGCCGTGCCGCAGCGAAACACAGGTGTGTATCATCGCCTTATCTCGCCTGCACTGAAGGTACTGGCCGTCCAGCGCCTCCTCGTCTTTTCCCCCGCGTCTTCCCCCTCGCATCCTTGCCCCGGGCTTGCGTATGGCACGGTTGATCCTTTCGGCTGGATTTTTGTCGTTGTCTCTGGCTTCTGAGTGGACCAGTCGCGCGCGTTTACTGCCTCCCGCTCTTCGACCTTCTACGTCTCGACGTTGCGCACGAGGACGCGACGCGAACAAGTGTGTGTGTGTGTGTATGTGTGCCATGCCTTTATGTATCCTCGCGTGTGTGTGTGTGTGTATGTGTGTGTGTGTTTGCCCTTTGCTGTCCCCTTCGGGGCCCCGTCAGTCGGCCTCGCCCTGGCGTGTGGCGACTAAGCCGTCGTATGGTTTTCGTCCACTTCGTCGTCTTCGTTTCTATACCATCTTCGTCGCCTGAGGCCGCCTGCACTTCGCTCACTCGCCGACTCGGCGGTTGGGTCGCCTCCCGCCTCCTCCGCAGCTGCCCTCTTCTTTTCCGCCCTCTCTAGTGCCCGTTCCAGATTCGCGTTCGCTGGCGCTGCCGATTCGAAAAACTGTGCAAGCCATGGGCTCAAGTGTGCGCCGGGCCCCCCTTGCCGGCGGCGCGCGCGGAGTGGTGGACGCCAGCGGCGCCGCGATGGCAGCTTCCCTCGTGGAGGCGACTGTCCGTGCTGTCGTACAAGCGGTCGCCCCGCGCTGGACCGTCGCAGCCGCCGCGGCTGCCGTGGCCCCCTCGATCATGAGTCATGTCTGCGGTGCGGCATGGCCACAGTCCGGCGCGGGAGCCCGTGGTCCTGCCGCCGCGGACCAGCCAGACCGTCCCAGCGACGGCGGAAGAGGCAGAAGAAGAAGAAGAAGAAGACACAGAAGAGCAAATCCTGGCGGCGAGCCAGGCCGACGACGACAGCAAGAGGCGGAATCTGGAGCCAGCGGAGCTGGGCCGCGGGGGCGACCTGGCGACGACGGCGGCCCGACCGAAGGTGGGGACGGAGGAGGACGAGTGGTTGCCGCCTCTGGCGCGCGGCGACGACGACGAGGATATGGAACTGAGTGGCAAGGAGCTCGGCCTGCGCTTCGAGGGGCCCGTCGAGCAGATGGTGCAGGACCTGGTGAAGGCCCAGGGCTCTGGTGAAGAAGCCGGCGCGGCATATGTTCGCATCCCTGCCGCAGTTGATGTTCACCGGCGCAGGGCAGCTCATGGCTGCTGTGCCCAAGCGGAATCATTTGGAGGTGTGTGGGCTGTTCAACTCAGCTTCCGTTTGCTGAAAAAAGAGCATCGAGCTGCATACGTGCAGACCGGCAAGTAGATCGCGAAGAAACCGCTTTCGTTCCCATGAGCGGCAGGGCCAGAGGCGCGGGGCACCGCGTCTTCGAACTGATGGAAGGCATCACGATGATCTCGTGCATGCCGAATCCACACGTGCCTGCTGTTCGGTGTCTACATGGGCAGGCGGCCCACAGACTCGTCAGCGAGGAAAGGGCCAGTGTGGGGCTGGCCATATTCTTCATCAGAAGACACATGGGGTTTCATCGCACCTAGGTGCTGAACCTGTTCCTTGTCCGCTTGGGTTCTCGGTTTCACGGCTCGGCGCTCGCGTTGGTTCCATGGGATGGGCCTCAATCTCGCCCCCCCTTCAAAAACGTGTGTGTCTTGGTGGGTGAAAGAGAACTTCCCTTCCACCCCGCCCTGATCCCCCCGCACAGTGTCGAGGCTGCTGCCCTGTGTCTGGCCTGCGCGACCCTGGAGGGCCACGGTGTGGCGTCGCAACCCGGCGGCATCGCTGCACCCGCCGCCCCCGGCCCCCTTCTGGGCTTGTGGCCGCCCCGCCACCGGGCCGCTCTCCCTCGCCTCTCCTCTCCTCCCCCCTCCCCCCCTTCTCCTCCTCCTCCTCCTCCTCCTCCTCCTCCTCCTCCTCCTCCTCCTCCTCCTTCGCCTCCTCCTCCTCCTCCTCCTCCTCTTCCTCCTCCTCCTCCTCTCCTTTCCCTCCTCCACAATTGCACACTATGAATGCTGTCCCCTCTCTCTTTTGACTCTGTCTGGAGAGTGTCCCGTCCTCTCCGCGTATTTTGTTCGTTTACACACGGGATTCCATATTTTATGTTTTTTAAATATAAAACAAGAGTGTGGTCGTTTCTGGTTTGCAGCGTTGGCCTCGCTCTCGCGCCTCCGGACGGCATTTGGCATTCGAAAGCGCCCACATCGGGCAAGGGCGGTTTCGGAGGGCATTGAATTGGCATTCCGGACAGGCCTTGTCCTCTAGTGGACGGGCTACTTACCCTCCAAGTCATCCGTGGCCATGTCCGGGCATGCAATGCGATGCTGTGTTGTGCACCGCTGTGGAATGCCATGCTTTTGCGTTGCTATTGATGTGATGCAATGCTCACTGGGCAATGCCAAGCCGCGCTATGAAATGCTATGCTCTGCCGTGCTCTTCTACGCCATGTTTTCCATCCATCGCGTACCATTTTGGGATCATTGCCATGATCGACATCGGACTGTGCGCATAGGTGGGGTATCTACGCCATGGTAAGGGATGGGAGGGAAGGGTAGGACGTTAGATGTGATGCTGGCGCACCTGACTTGCCCTCCTCCCTCTCCTCCTTTTCCTCTTTCTCCTCCTCTGCCTCCTCCTCCTCCTCCACCTCCACCATTCGTTTTCCGCGTAGATAAGTCTTCCCTGTCGCACCCCGAGGCTGGTCGAAAGGGCGGGCTGGGCGTTTCGCTTGAGACTTCTTCACCAGTAGTGACCCCAATTCTGAACAATTGACAATATTTTCGCAGATGGATGGGCGGGTGGTTTTTACATTGTTCTCGCCTCGGCGCCGCGTATTTTTTATATTTACTATTTATCTATATACATACGTTGTAAGAATTTCGCGGATCGAGGGCGGGTGGTTTTCAACATGTGGTTCTTGCTTTCGCGCCGCGTAGACCCGTTTTAGACAGATGCGAGAGTTTCACGGATTGAGGGCGGGTCGTTTTTAACTGCGCAGCGCGCGACGGTTGCAAACGTGTGCAAGAACTTCACGGAGCGGGGGCGGTTCGTTTTCAAAGCGCGGTTCCCGCCTTCGCGCCGCGTGCACTCGTTGTATGAAGTTGCAGGAGGTTCGCGGATGGAGGGCGGGTGGTCTTCAAGTTGTGGTTCTCGCTTTAGCGCCTCGCACACTCGCTGAAACAAATCGCAAGAGGTTCGCTGATCGAGGGCGGCTCGTTTTCGAGATGTGGCTCTCGCTTGAGTGCCGCGCGCATTTTATACATATATGTGTATATATAATATGTTTATAATATATATACATATTGTGTTTTTTACTTCTGAACGATGCAAGAGTTTGACGGATTGAGGGCGGGTGGTTTACAACATGTGGTTTTCGCAGTCGCGCCGCGCACATTCGTCTTTTAAAACGTTCAAAGATTTTTGACGGATTGAGGGCGGGTGGTTTCCGAAATGTGGTTTTCGCTTTGGCGCGGCGTCCATTCGTTCGAAACGTTTGCAAGAGTTCACTGTTTCTCATGGCTAACGTACCAGAAATGATGCTTTGGAGCGGTTCAGGATTGTCAGGGCGCAACAATTATTTTGCTGCGTGGTGTTGCAGTCCCAGGAACGATGTTTTGGCACGAGTCTGGATTGCCAAAACGTAACATTCAGGTTAACTCGTGGCGTTGAGTCCTGAGAACGGTGTTTTGGTACTCGCACGGTTGTCCCCCGACGGGGCAATTCCCTGAGTGTGAATGTCTTTTTGTAGGGGTCTATGAAGAGGGATCTTAGAGGGAGGGTGTATTTCAACATCGCTGATGAGTCTTGGGTTTGCACAGGTCCTCCTCCTCCTCCTCCTCCTCTTTCTCCTCCCCCTGATTCTCCTCCTCCTCCCCTCCTCCTCCTCCTCGTCCTCCTCTTCCTCCTCCTCCTCTCCCTCCCCCTCCTCCTTTTCCTCCCTGGTCACTGGGGGCGTCTGTCCCAGGGCGACTTGAAAGTTTATACCCTTACGGTGGCACGTCAGGATATAAACTTCCCAGCTGCCCTGGGGCAGGTGCCCCCAGCGAAGGAACGGTTTATTTTCTACCATTCTTCTCCCGCTGACCTTTTGCGGTCCGGCCAGGGCTCGTCGGGCCCTCCCTCGGGTTCGGACCCTCCGTTCGGGGGTTGCGAAAGGTGCTTCTGGCCCAGAGAGTGCCCCGGCGCTTCGGTTCGTCGCCCCTCCGTGGTCGCAGCCGCGCCGCCGCTCCGCCGTGTCCTCCGCCGTGTCCTCCGCCGTGTCTCGGCCACTGCCTCCCTCCTCCGCCCTGTGTCTCTGGCCTTGCTGGCGTCGCGGCCTTTCTGCCCTCCGCACTACCCGCGGGTTGCCTTGCTTCCTCAATGTAGTCCGCCGCCGTTGCAGCCGGCTCCACTGCGCCACGCTTTCTGGACTCGGTCCGCCGTTGCCAGCATTGCCTCCTCTCTCCTCTCCCGTTGTCGGCTTCCCCCTCTCCCCTCCCCCGCGTGCCTCCTCGCGATTGCGCATCCACAGAGGTGGCTGTTTTGTGTGTGTGTGTGTGTGTGTGTGTGTGTGTGTGTGTGCAGAAATGTGCCGTTGTCATGGGGAACAAATGTGTGCGCGTGTCTATGAGTGCAGCCCTGGGCTCGTTCAGCGCTGACGCGCGTGCCTCAGCGCACAATGTGTTGCGGTCGGGTGCTTCAGGTGGTCACGGGTTGGACGGATGGGAAAAGGGTGACACGGTGACAAGGAATAGTTTTGAGGTGGGGGGCGGCAGGAGCGAGGGAGGAGGATGAGGAGGCAGGAAAAAGCGAAAGAGAGAGAGAGAGAGAGAGCGAGAGAGAGAGAGAGAGAGAACGGGACGACCCTCGATGGCGGACGACGCGCGAGAAGGGGGCACGAGGGGAGGGGGAGGAAGGAGGCAGGAGGGAAAGGGGGGGGGGAGGGACGGGAGAGGCGGTGGTGGTGGGGGGGGGGGGGGCGGGAGCGGCAGAGGGACAGGGCGGCGGGGCGCCGCGCCTCCCCCGCGCCGCCCCGGCTCGAACCGAGACGTTGTCCGTGTCTCCCTGGTATTGCACAGCCCCGGGAGGCCGGAGGGCCGCGGGTCGCCGAGGGCCCAGAAAAAGAGAGCAGAGGGGGAGGGAGCTCCCAACAGCAACAACAACAACAACAACAGCAACAATCACAACAACAGCAATAGCAACAGCAACAGCAACAGCAACAGCAACAGCAACAGCAACAACAACAACAGCAACAGCAACAGCAGCAGCAACAACAGCAACAGCAACAGCAACAACAACAACAACAACAGCAACAGCAACAACAACAAAAACAACAACAATAATGCTAAGACTGTTCGCCCTTGTCTGCTCGAGTGTCCAATAACGCGTATCTGCCAAACCTTCGATACCCGCCCTCTTCGTCTTCGATCGAACCCCTCTTTGGGGCATACCTTTCTTCCCTGCAGCCCGGGTCCCGGCAAGCGGCAGAAGGGCCCGCCTCCGTGCCCCGGGGCGTCCAAGGCCCTTTCGGCACGAGCGAAACGGGTACGGAAAGAATGGGTACAGAGCCCAACAGCGGTTCCTGTTCATTTTCGACAGGGCTCGCTGTCGGTGTCGCCGCGGCCGGTGTGCATTTGAGACAGAAGGCCGCCTTCTCAGCAGTGGCCGCTGCTGGTTTGGGACAACATTTGTTGTTGGGCATTGTACCCATTCTTTCCGTGCCCTTTTCGGGCGTCCAAAGCCCTTGCATCCTCGTCGCGCATCCTTGCTATTAAGTCTGGCGTGCCCCCTTTGCAGGAGGACTATTCAAGAACAGTCAAACAATCGTCTGGGGGCATTTATTTTTATATACTGTGTTTGATCATGTTAGGCTGTGTATGAACATTTTTCGATGTTTTGCATTTGTCTTCAAGCATCCGCCTCTAGGAGGACATGCCCGACCTAATCTTACTATCACTTCTGACTGTACCGCGGAATGGCCACTTTGGGCTGAGGAACGGCTCTGGTTTTCAGGCATTCCCTCAGATCCAGGTCGGGGAATGAGGAGGAGGAGGAGGAGGAGGAGGAGGAGGAGGAGGAGGAGGAGGAGGAGGAGAGGAGGAGGAGGAGGAGGATCCGGAGGAGGTGGAGGAGGAGGAGGAGGAGGAGGAGGAGGAGGAGGAGGAGTTGAGGAGGAGGAGGAGGAGGAGGAGGAGGAGGAGGACTTGCTTGTGGCCGAGGCCCGCCGTGGCCAGGAGCGCTCCGTCCTGTCTTGCTGTGCGTCCCTGACGGTGGCACGGCGACCGTCACTACGAGATGCACTTTTTCTCCGCCAGAGGGGTCGCCCGTCTTCG